AAAATGAATAATTATTTTTCAAACATAGCTACAAAGTCAAATAATGATGCATACAACTGTATTGTTGGTCATAAATATTATTTTTTACGTTAGGTATGTCAAAAAATCTTGAGAACACCCTGTTAAAAATCTGATGTGTCCAAATTTACACATTTTTTCAAATATCTCGAATACGGTCTATTTTAGAGAAATTGAATAAAAATTATAGAGAATTATATTACAAACAACTTTTATTTGAACAATTTTTATAAAAAATTATTTTTTTACATTTTGTCAAATTTCTCAAATACGGACCATTTTAGTAAAATTTTGTATAAAACAAAAAATATTATTAATAATATTGTAAGTAACTTTTATTTGAAGAATTTTCTTCTCCAAACGTAAATAACAGATATATTCCATAAAAAGCTGTTTTGGACCCTAATCCATTAGACGTGTTGGTTCGTTCACCTTGTATATATTCATAATTAATTAAAATGATGAGAATGATAGATATTTGATTTAATAGTAGATAAAAATAAATACCTATACACTTAAAATTTACTGGCATTTTCAAAATTATTAAGTTTTGTGATTAAAATAAAGTTTAATAAAATGTTGCCTGTGCACAAAATTTTTAGAATCTTAGAATTCTGTAAGAATCCATTTTTTTAATTTTCCACGCACACATTTTTTTTTAATAAGTATAATGTAATTTTTTACCAAAAACACATTTTTTTACAAATTTTAGATACCGCTCAGCCTATGGAACTTTTAATGTTCCTAGTATTTATAGTCTTAGTATAAGTACATTATTTGATATAAAAATAACCGAACTGAAATAAATTCTTATTTAAATTTGTTTTGATAATTAACAAAGTTAAAAGTGTATTATATAATTCTAAATTTAACCCTCGTAGTAGATATTTCGATAATTGTTCCGAAAATAATACCTTGACTATATGATTCAGTCAATGGAGGCGAAAAAATTCTTTTACATTGTATATATTATCGGTGAATTACTTTTTTAACATGACAAATATTTTTTTTTTTGGTGAAAACATAAAATGAGACTTCAGATTACTCTTCTAGGTATACATAGGTATATAGTAGGTATGCGTTCACTGTTTCTGTGTTCAAATTCAGTTTGTGGTGTCTATGGCCAATCTTTGGCTATTAGTTCATTATTTTTATACATTTTGCATTTTTGCTAACATATTATTTTCAACATATGACTTCTCAAAAAATTTAAGAAATTTATTTCCTGGGCTAATTTCAACGTTTTATAAAATAGGGTCTCATGCTTATCCACATCTATATATTCAAAAATCCTTCTCGGTTTCAAGACACTAATGTGATCCAGGTTTTAGCTTTCAAGTTCATTCAAATAAATGTCTTTTGTTGAATTGTTTGGAATAACTTTGAAAATTAGTTCGAAAAGTTTGGAAGAAACATTTTTTTTTATATAACTCATGGCAGGATTTAGAAGAACATTCATGTAACGCCAGTTTAAATATATATTTTAATTTTCTATTCTTTTTATTTAAATTGTTGCTTCTTTTTATTTATTTTTTTAATTTTGTAATTCTTTGTATATAGAACACTCAAAGAGGGCAGATCCTAAGAAGTGTTTCCAAATTTGAGTTGTTAAACTAAAATAAATTAAACTTAACTAATTTCAAGATTCTAATACTTGCTAAATAACAAAATATTATTAAATCCACACGAATGTTGTGTTTACTAAAAAAGTGTAACTTTTTAAAATAATGATTGTATTGATTATTTATATACAAAATATTTATTGATAAAGCCTAAATTCTAAACAGTAAATTCATGTGTTGGAGACGTCAGATTTTTATTTATATTTTAGTAATTTTTAATTTAACTGCAATGTGTAGTTTTTTTTTTTTGTTAAGGGAGGAAATTTCCTGCTATTTAAAATTGTTAATACAAGTTACAATAAAAAATCAAGTTTTGATACATATTAATAAAAATAGAACAATTTTAACCAAATCTGTGATTGAACAAATAATCAACTTTGTATCAAACCAGGTTAACTGTCGCAAAATCCAAAACCACATTCAGCTTTTACTTTTTTTTGAATAGAACATTTCCAAGTGATTTAAAATCAATGAATTATATGATGCATACCTAACAAAAGTTCAAGGCACAAATTCCTAGACTGCCAAAAAGAAATTTATCGATTCACACTTCCTGGCCCTCGCGTTTACTTCAATGGCATGTTTATTTATCAACGATTCGGATCGTTTTATTGCATAATTAGGTCCCTCGGAATAAAGGCTGAAAGAGTTCAACAAAAAATTGACATCTAATAGGTTTTCCGCAAGTTGATTTATAATTGGAGCAAACCAGAAACCAGACAAAAGGGAAATTGCAGTAGTCCCGATTCAAATTAGTTTCCCGCTCTATTCTACTCACTTAAATATTTACATTATAGTACTAGTTCTATTTTTGTTTGTCACTGTGCCATATATCGCGATCACTTCCTAAAACTTTTTATATCGCGAAGTGTATAATCGATTTGTGCTTTCAATGAAATTTAATGTTAAAAATATAAATTTACGGTATTATTTCCACAAAAACGAATGGGTTAAGGCTGTAACGAAGTTACTGGAACATTGGAGATCTCGATTCTTGCTAGACTGCTCTCAAACATTCAAGTGCCCATTCACACGCCTATAAAAAGGTTGGAAAGTCGATTTCACTATAGGTCTAAAAGAAAAAAATCTAATTAGCACCTAGTTTGATAAAAAAATTGGCATTCAAATAATTAGAAAGCGACAATGGTGGCAATGTGGTCTGTATTTCGTAGTCACGAATATCAACAAACTTTTTTTTACTTCAAAACATTACAACATGTTTTCTGGAGCTGATGGGTAAGCAAATCGCACCAACCTGGCATATTCTTGAAAGGTCTCGTAACGTTTCTGGTTACGATTCTTAAACTGTGATTGATACAAATATTCCAAATGTTCGTGGCCATACCACATGTTTGGTTTCTATTTAAGTTGTTTGTCTCTTCCACAGATATAGTCTGAAGGACATCTAAAGGGTCTCCTCGTTACTGCCTTCAGACCATTCGTTTGTTCTTCCAGTCGAAATTTGAGGCTTTAACACGAGCAGAGTTTACAGTTCCTTCCAATTTTACCTTTGTCTTCATCTCATGGCACTTTATTTCACCCTACTTGGCCTGTTTTGTGTGTTCCAGTTCTTCTATCTTCTTTTATTATATCTCTTTTATTTTCTCAACAACAGAAGAAATTTCATTTCCGATAGAAGATATCAGAAGAAGACTTTACTTTCCATAGGAAACACTTTTTCTTTCAAGGAAGAAATGTAATTTTTTATAGAAGAAAGATCAGCAATAATTTCAGTTTTCATAAAAGACATATCAGAGGTCACTTTTTTTTAAGGAAGCAATATCAGACTAAACCTTATTTTCTAAGGAAGAACTGTCAGTACAAACTTTAGTTTCTAATGAAGAAATGTCGGTTTTGTGTGTGGATTATAAAACCGTTTTACAGAATCGTTGCGTGAAAGCCTTTTATCAGGATTTATCGTAAGCAGGATTAATCAAAATATAGCATGCGAAGGATAATACATTAAAGTGATCAATGTTCACATTACCACTATGCAAATTATTGCATTTATCGATTACACTAATTATAATAAATGATTGCTAAACATTTTTATGAAAAATATGAATATTAAAAAAATGTAAAACTTCCGCTGGCGTGTTAAGAATTATATTCCGTATTGCGGTTAATTTATTTTTATACAACATTATTCTTACAAAACTGAAGTATTATGGGGATATATATCGAATATCTGATGTACAAGAGACAACGCTTGATAGGTGATAGCTCATTCAAATTGTTAAAAAATAAAAGTTGACAAACTTTATACCAAAGTTTTCAGCATATGGAGACATTTGTTTTTTAAGCTTTACAAAAAGAAGTTATTCTCGATAAAAAGTCCTGTATCACATAAATAATTCATAAAAAATTGCTAAATATACAGGGGAAATAAAAAATAATGATTCATGCTAAAGAGTAGTTACTTTACTTACTTTTAAATTTCAATACAATCAAAATATGTATTTTAAAATGTTGATAGAAACTATACATCGCTTATATTTAGAGCAATGGATACTTTATTCAATAATAATAAAAGTAATACAATTAATACTAAAGTATGAAATTACTTATATATTTTTAAATTTGAAGCTTGATTATTGTTTTCCAAGTGAACTTTTTATTAAGAATACATTTTTCCTAAAACTAACAATAAAAAATTATTCCACATTTTCGCAACTTAGGTACATATAGTATATTTTTATATTGCTTCAAGGAGAATTTAATTTTTTATACTGACGACACTTGGATCAATTAAATCATTTTAAAATTATCTTTAATGACTTAAGCATTGTTTTCTATCTATCAAATGTAATCTTTAATAGAAAAAATACCTGATATAGTATCTAAAAAAATTAGTATCATTCTTTTCTTAAATTGACCCTTTAATCCAAAAAGCAATCATTTAGAAACAAACACAAAGCTATATAGAACACTTTCTATCCAACACGATACACTTACAGAATAAAATCAGAAGATTTGGAACAACCATATTTAATCCATCATTCTCAGAGTTCTGCACTTTCTTCGATGAGATGAGACAATTTCAGAAAAAGTTTGGATTAGTTTTATGGTAAAATGATCAGTTTTGGATACTTATATATTTCTATAGTATGATTCTTAATGACTTGCTATATCAAACAAAAATAGGTCAATCCAAATCCTACTCTTGAAATATCATTATGAACATTATTACTACAAAATTTTATTGTAGGAATGGGAATAGACAATTTTTAGAAAACTTTTTGGATGTAAGAGAGTCAAACTTTTTTAAGAATAGAACAATATTGAGTTTCACAAAAAAACTATTGACTTAAAAATACAAATGAAATGATCATACTTATTAAGAACCATTATTCAAAATAGTATTTTGAATCTTAGTAAAATTTTCTGTACACTCTAAATCAACTTATGTAATATGTAAGAAAATATATGAAGTATGTAAGGAATATGCACGCAATAAGAATAATCCTCTGCAGTGGCGGCTGGTGACTAAAATATTGACAGTTCAAAATGACATATTATAAATCTCAGTACATATTTAGCTAAAATATAATATATATTTTTAAAACATCAATTTTAAAACGAAAAATCGTGTATATTTTTACAAATTACAAGTTTTAATGAATCCAAGATTAATATAATTCAAAATTGCATAATGATTGTTTGAAAACAAGCAACAGGTGGCACTTGTACAAGAACGTGTTTGTTATTTTCCCAAATAAGAATAATAAACTAAATAAATTCAACTGGTTGTTTCGACAAAGTTTTTTATTTGACTTGTTCTAAATTTAACACGGAAGCGTGAAAAATGGAGAACGTGGTCCATACCCGCACCAGAGTGTACATCAGTTCCACGATGGATGTAAAATCGCGAGTGCGGAATTGGTGGAAGAGGTTACGTTTGAAAAATGCGCTACAGCATCTCGGACTGTTAGTGATGTTGATGGGTTATACGCTGGCAGGAGGAATGGTGAGTTAGTTTTTATTTAAAATTATATTTTTTTTTGTATGATCCACAGGATGATTGGGTAGTTATAGAAGAAGAGAAAAAATACACTGCCCGGCATAAAAATTTCGTCACCCTAAAGTTTGATGTTTTATAACTTTTTGATATTTTATCGTATTTTTATGATTTTTCTACCAGTTTGTAGATAAATTTATTGTAATTTTTTTAAATTAATGTAATAAATAACATTTTTCGTTTAGACAGTTTTATACAGGGGTAAATCAAAATGTTGTTTTCTTGTCGCAACTTCAAAACACCTTGTAACAAAATTGAGGTAGATAATTTTGTTTACGTACTGTTTGCTATAATCTCAGATGTATTCCAAACATTTTGTTCTTTGATTCATCCCATTATCTCATTTTTTCTGTGAGCTGCATTTTTTTAACAAAACGTTATTGATTTTTTAATTAATTTGTGAAAAATGGATGTCAAACTATTGGTTAAAAACAGATATGGATAGAGGAGATAGGAAAAGCTATTTATTATCACCAGTGTTTCAAAACAATGTACCATGTTTACAATTTAAGAGACTCAGGCACATGCGCAGTTGCTATATTGTTTGGACTGTCATTTATATCAATTCGTCTTATGTTTTTTAGAAAATCGCTATTTCAGTGAATTTAAATTTTTTTTAGAAGTTTTTAAATAAAATTGGTAAGAAGTGCTTTCTTTTTGGTTGCTTAAACAACAAATATTCAAAAACCATTACATTCCAAAAGTTTTTTACCAAAATCGTATTCTTTATTTATTACATTTCTTAAGATTATATTTTCTAGAAAACGAAATATTGTAGTACAATAACAAACTGGGTAAATTTCACAGTAATTCTGAATATATTTCCGCAAAGTTTTTTTAGAATTTGCATTAAAGATAAAATTACCTTATAAAATGAATAAATTATGGATACATTGTTTTTTAAAGGAACATCCATTCTTAAAATATAAAAACAAACCCAATTTAAGCACGAGAAATTTTAAGGAATTAATAACCCAAAGAATGCCAAGATGAGGTTTATTTCCCATGAAGGATATTTTATTATGTAAAAATTACATTTTATTTTGTAGCATGGTGAAATTTTGTTGTTTCATTATTGGAAATGTTTGAGATAATCAATAAAATATTTACATTAATGATGGGAAAAAATTAGACAATCTCTAAATCATAGGACGTTTCCTAGAAACGACAAAAGTGAGTATTTTGTAACAAAAACAGTTTTAGTAAGGTATAACATTAATATGTTTGTCTATTAAATTTTTCAACCTCTCTTAAACCGTACACAACAATTTAAAAAACAAAAATATATACATATTAAGAAATAATAATAATTTTTTCTATAAAAATAACTCAATAGAGCACTTCGATATTTACTGTAAATATTTCCATTAAATCTAAGTGTGTTAGGATGTTTGTCTAATAGTTTAATAGTTGTGAAGGTTTTATAAACTGTTTAACTTATGAAAATTTATTTTTAATTGCCGCCACAAAAGTTTTCCTTCAATATATTCTAGGAAATCGTATGAAAAATTATAGAAATATGAAATATAAATGCATTTTCGTTATTTTTATATTTAATATTTAATAATTAATGGTAGTTATTTTTGAGCCAACTTTCTTCAGTGCGTTTTTTAAATACGAGGGTAAAATCAGAAAATTGGCAAATTTAATACAGAAAATTTGAAAACAATAAATAAATGTCATATATTAAACTTTATCTCAATTTTTTTTGACAGATGACGAACAGAAATATTGTGGTTATTAAAAATTGACTGGTAAATGATTGAACAACGTGTTTATTGTGAAAATGTATTAGAAATTTTGTGAAGTTTTTGTAGAAACAAAGAAAATAAGGAACAAAAATTTTATAAAAAATCAGAGGAGCCAGACACATTGTCACAGAGAAAGCTACCCTTAATATGTCACTTGTGGTGAAAGTTCATAATATATTAATACTTTTTCATGAAAACAATACAATGCCACATAAAATTAATTTTAGCAAAATCGATCCCGCATAAAATTAATTTAAAAAACTAAATTCCACATAAATAATAATACCAAAAACAATTCCATATAAAATTTATTTTATCATAAAAGATTCCACATAAAATTCAATTGTTCAAAGCCAATCCCTATAAAATTCATTTTATCGAAATCAATCCCACATAAAATTAATTTTATCAAAATAAATCCCACATAAAGTTCACACTGTATCAAAATTCTCTTTATCAATCCCACAGGAAAATGCATCTTGTGTGGGATGGATTTTGATAAAATTAATTTTATGTGAGATTGATTGATACAAAATGTATATGTCATATAAAATTTATATTATCAAAATGGATCCCGCATAAAATTTATTTTACAAAAATAAATCACACATAAATAATAATACCAAAAACATAAAATTCAATTGATCAAAACAAATCCCTAATTCATTTTATCAAAATAAATCACTCATAAAGTTCACTGTATCAAAATTCTGTTTATCAATCCCGGAGAAAAATACAATTTGTGTGGAATTGATTTTGATAAATTAAATTGTATGTGAAGCTGATTTGTAACTGTCTTACTATTGTAGATGGCCCACTATGGGATTTAGTTACCAGTTAGTTACAAGTTTATAGAATGAGCTTAACCTTTGCCTTTCACTAAAATGCTGCCACAGAAAGTAAGGTAACGTATAATAGAAGAAAGATCAATATCTCGAAATCTTCTCGATTATTTTTTAGACTTTTGAACAGCATGATAAATCTAGCTTTGTCCAAGTTTCAGGTCTTGGGACTAAATAGCCAAAATACACTTAAGACGTGCGGAATTCTTTATTTTTTAAGTCTCAATATCGCCATTTTTTGTTAATAAAAAAATTTGGTACTTTCTTAATAAAAATATGTTTTTTAAGACGTAAAAAGATTGTTGTCCAAACACGAGATACTTGCCCGATCTCATACATCTCTTATAAATTGTACTTATTTGTTTCAATCTGTCGCCATCTCGGTACACAAGTAATTGAAACCCCCAGACGCCCAGACACCGACGCCAAAACCTCAACAACGCTTGCATAACACCCGAACGCTTTGCCTTTCCGTTTTCGTTATTTACAAAATCTCTATTTTTAAACGAAAGTTAATAACCAAATAATAGATGGGGGCATAAATCAAGCACAATGAGTGGGAAAAAAAATATTGTATCAAGGTCGTAGAGACCCTTTTAGTGGATTTGACCAGGGACGTATCTCGGGATGGGTCAGTGAAAGAATATATTAAGAAATATTTCAGAAATCAATAATGCATGCCTCAAAAGTTTTTCAACAAAAATCCAATAAAATTAATTTATAGTTACGGTTGTTAGAAGTTTAATTAATTATGTAATTTTTGTAAAACTGGAACGAAGATATGTTACACTGGTTTCTGGTATCTCAATTTATTTCAACTCAACTTTAACAATAATTATACAACTGATAACATTAACGTATAATTTCTATCATAAAACTGAAAACTAACGTCATGTTGTCGACTTATATAGCTTGCCTCAACCTTCTAGAACATTTTCGAACAATCCGGATTTTTCTTTGACAAGGAATGACATTTCAAGACATTTCAGGACTGTTCTATCTTCTTCATTTACTCGTACCTTTATGACTTATGACGAACGCAGCACGCTGCAGGGTGCAATATGTATATGACATTCTACATACTCCATTTTAAATCAGATTTTTTTCAGTATCAATAGAGCTTGATCTTTCTGATGATTTTTTATTTCACAATTAGAAATTTTTTTAATATTTCAACCCTCCTTAATCTCTCAATTTTGTCAGTAAAAGCTTTAATTTTGTTATGTACATTTTCTACATCAATAAATACCATTTGTAAATCTTATTTTTTTTTTTAATTTATTATATATGTACTTTAAACCTTAATGATTGTTTTTATATTTTAGTTCTTTTTAAATAAACGTTGTACCTATAAGTTTTTCTACGAAATCGGTCATACTGATTTTGTATTTGACCCTCTACTGCACTCTATTGTTTTCAAAAACAAAGTACCTAATTACTCAAAAAGCGTATCGAAAAATTGGTAAAATACGGTCCTGATTTGGATCGGAAAATCGGGATTTTATTACACCCAAACATGCGGGTTATATTGAGTGTAAATAACTAGACCTTTATGCTTCGTTTTGAAGGAAGTGCGTTAAAACAATTAATTAGTTAGCACATAATAAACAATGGGATAGCTGGGGACTTTGCATATACCTTCAAAACATTAATTAATTTTAATTTATATTAACGACAATTATGACTCCATAAAGTACAATCATGATATTTATTTTGTAAAACTACACAATAACGTATGTATTTTTGTTGATTCAAGTAATTGAAATCAGAGTTCTGAAAGGGAAGCTTAATAAAATTGAAATATAATCAATAAAACGTATTTGTTGTATCTTCGTTCTACAAGATAAATAAAGACGTCATTTCCAATAGCTTTACAAATAACAAAATGTGTACATATTAATCTCCAGGATCATCAGGCCACGGTAAAATAATCTGGCTTGTATTATTACAACAATCATTTAGTCAGATTCATCTTCAGTTGTGATACAGTTGAGGCAAAATTAGGAATTAACAGATTAAACAACACTCTGGAAAATCTTAACGTTGGACCACACATAGGATGTGTTAGATGTGAGAACAGATCACAAAATCTGTTACTTCAATACAACATTCAAAGTATTCTAAAAAATAGAAATGAGATTACTTTAATGGATACCAGTATCCAACATTCGAAATAATACACTTAGAATACAGATAGGTCTAAGACTTCGAAGAGTACTTGGGCTGGAATATTTTCCAAAAGTCCTAACCTTATAAAATAGAGATTTACGCAATCTTGCAATGTGCAATAACAGACGATAGGAGAGCTACCGAATACCAGTGATTCAGAATGTCATAGAGCAATGTGGCCTTTAAGGGCATTAGAGTAGAAGTAGTTTAGGTGCTGGGTCTCCAAGAGCTAATGAACTTGCAAAAAAACCACAGGTTGATCCAAAAACCTATAGAACATACTCTGTAAAACTTGTACAAAGAAACAATTATGAACTAATATGGACTAAAATACATTAAGCAGTGTTATCAGAGAAAAAGTCAGATGAAGATTACAATAAAATGAAACTGTTTATAAATGCGTTTCAAAGGCGGTTCCAGTGAGGGGGCCATGGGGCTCATACTCCCTAATCCTAGATTAAAATTCTTAAAATCCATGAACCTTTTATAAAAAAAAGCTCAAAAGGGAATGGCTAATGCATAATGGCAATGTCCAATAACTCATGCTGTAAATTTGAAGTAGCACAAGAGAAGTCAATAATATTGTAATGACCATGTAGAGATTTTACAAGAAATTAAGTGACAACCTCGCCCATAATTGCTTTTAGTAGGATTGCTGAAGGCAAAGTTGTTTTAGGTAAAGTGTCATTTTATTTCTTTAAAGATTTCTAGATATTATCATCTACCCCTCTAATGTGTTAGTGATCCCATTCCTCTTGACTCAGAACTAAACAGTTGTATATTCTGATGTCTCTAAAGAATTATTGTATAACCTTCATTTTACAATCGTAGAAAAAAATTTAAAAAATATATATTTTTAAAATCAAGATATTATTGAAATGAAACAAAAAAATATATTTAATATATATGAAAAATTATGGTTAACTGATCCTTCCAATGCAATGTGGAAATTTAGTAGTACATTATTCTGTTACTCTATTGACTCTAATCACGCTCAGTGTAGCGAGTTGCAGGTTTTTCTCTTATTTATATCTACTTTTATCGCCTTCTCTTTCGTTGTTTTAGATTTGATATTTTGTTTCCAATTCTGTACGTCTCCTATCGACAGTATCAACTGCGTATCAAATTTTATACCGACAGAAACATTTTTTTCCTATTAAATTAAATCCTGATTAAAATTCAATAAATTACTTTTATTAATTTTGTTCCAGATATTTAGACACTTCGAGTACCCAGCAGAAATAGTCAGGACGAGACACTATCAATCTTTACTGCACGAGAAACGACAGTATTTACTGGAATTAATAGTACACAATGATACAAATACAGCAATTATAGTCACAAACGAATTAATCGAATACGACAAAATTTTGGAAGATGCGTTTATAGCTGGAATATCAGTGTATCCTTCAGGGGAGATAGAAAAATGGACTACCTTGAAAGCTGTGTTCTTTTCGTCAACAGTACTTACAACTATCGGTAAGATTTTTTAAATATTATTATATTCGACCGAATTTAATTGGTAATATTAAAGTTAAAAATGCTTCTGTTACTCTAATTGTGAAGAGAGTATTTTTAAAATATTGCAGCTACAATAATATTTTTTAAAACTAATATGTACCTACAATTTGAATGCTAAAATACCTTAAAATAATACATTTTGTTTTTATTTTTCACTTTGTAACACACACACCTGTGGATTCTACCTATTTATGAATTTAGATCTTAATAACTAAACGTATCTCTTAAAATCAACACATCATCTTTAAAACATTCCAAATAAAAAGCTTATTTAAATTAGAAAGTTTATTTAAATCAGATTGCAAATTCTGAATGTCATCATAATTATTGATGATCTTGAAGCACTTAAAATTATCTTCATATTGAATAGTGACGGTCCCAGGTGAGATCCCTGAGAAACCCCCGAGGTTACTGAGAAAAATTTGGGAATAATAAATAATTACTCGAACTAAGAAGTAAGTCTTTTCTTTTCTGAATAATTTAGCATTAAAACCAGGTTTTGACATATCGTACACTTCTTTTGCATAATAGACCATTTCCATTTTGGAATTCCTTAGAATTGAAAAAGTTATTTGCGCAAATTTTTTGCTTTTTCCAAATTCAGTTACTGAAAATGTTCATGTAAAATATATTGGCCATCGGGGATTCCAAACAATATTCTGTTAATGAGTCTTGGCTCGTTGCCTAGACCAAATTTATAGCTGTCTTTGTTAACTAAGTTTCAGTCTCCTTAATTAGGTTCTAATATATGTTGATCCCGCAAGGAATACAACTTGAATCTATATTATGCAGAACGTACTTATTATAGTAGGTCATCTTTTAAGATGTCTGAACAATAATTCATTCAGTAATTGTACAGATATACAAAATTAATTTGCAGTTGCAGGATGACGATCTTTAATTGATTTAAAGAAAATCAATAATATCGGTCTTTTGTAGGTAAACTAATTCTTTATAAACAAGATTTAAGCAGAAAATAATATTTACAGTTTCGGTATTTGTCCAAATTACCAGAAATGCTTCAAGACGATGTTATTTTATAATATGTCACTCACTTGGATGCATTACACAAGGATTTTACTAAAAGGTTTAAGGATCTCTTAAATTTACGAATTCCTCAATATTACAGCCATGGAAGAAGCCAATGTGTTGATCATCATCAGCAGAGACAAGGAGCTTAAGCAGAAGTTCAACCAAGGCTATTAGAAGTTCTCGTTGCAACGCAACAGTGAAACACAGTATCCTGTATTGTGGAACATTGCTAAAAAAACCTTATCGCTTTTCAATCATCATACCTAGTTGAAAAAAGATTCAGAGATAGGATTTTTAAAATAATTTGGCTATGGGGGTCTGAGGTATTAGTTCATTTTGGGAAAAGGGTCTCTTGCCCAAAATAGTTTGAGAATTCCTGTCCTAGACGATACCAAAAAGGATACTATTAATACTGTGTTTATTTATCCTCATCGGATGCATTTGAGATTTTGTGAATCTTTGATCACGTTATTCAAGATACATAAATGTAATAAGAACAAATAATGTGTCCGATGTGGATAAACAAACGCTCGAGAAGTAATAAATTAATCTAATGTGAATATTCAAACGCAACAAAAATACATCTATAGGAATCTATCTATATATCCCCTCAATCAAACAACAGTTTGTCTAAAATATTGACACAGTTCTTGTACATTTTCATCAAACCACTCTGTATATTAGACGTCATCTTTAGATAGCTTTATTTTCATTCTAGGATTGATTTCTATTTATTTCAGTATAATATAAACTCATACTTATACCAATGTATTAATATTGAAATTTTGTTGTACAAAAAATAAATTGAACCTTTTTTATTCTTCGTATCAATTCAATTTTTGTCATATTTCTGCCATTTTTATATCTGATTGACGTTTTCAGTGATACATTTTTCGCCTTAGGATATAGGAAAGTGAAAAAGTGGCAAAATTGGGAAAACAAGGCTATAGAATATAGATACAGGTTATTTGGATGTATACATGAATGTGGCGATTTTTTTAGACATCCTCGATATATATATCGTCTAATAAATGTCTGGAGTATCTAATGAAGATTTATATATACGATTTGTGGACAGAAAAAATACGTGTACAGGTTATTATTTTATTTAGGAGTGAATTATTATGTTACGCTTTCAAAATTGATATAAAGGGTTCGACAAACCATCGTAATTATATAACTTCCATTATTTATATAAGATTTATATCTTAAAGGTATCTATCAAAATTATTTTCATATATAAACAATAAATTTGGCACTTTTTCAAATGGAATAACTTAAACTTTTTACAGTTTTAGTAATTTTTATTGTATAGTCACTATTAGAAATCTTCATTTTTTTTTTATTTCTCATTCCTCTTTTTCAAAATATTGAGTTTTTTATCTTTCTTTAAAAATGTCATACTCAAACCCTTTTTTTTTCATTGGCGTAGATATTTTAAAAATCAAGTTCTACGCTTATGGAATAATATTAGTACCAAATTTAAGCATAATTTTATAAGCTATTTTAAATTTATAATGAAGAGACTATTTAAAATGTATAACTTTAAGGCAGTCTAATGCCCAAACTTAGCAACTTTGTACTGATGTAAGTTTACTTAAATAGGCATAATTTGGTATAAAGTGTCATGTTGTTTACAGGTTGAAAGTTATGAGATTACAAAATTATTATAGAAAAATGTTATTTTGAAATAGATAAATTGTATTAAAAAATACATTATTATAGAATGACCCAAGTCTGCATTGTATGCAAAACACTATAGTACTGATTTTCACAAAATTATATATATTCTTGATAAAAGTTGGTCCACTATCTAAAACAGAAAATGCAATAATCAAACTTTCATAATAGCAAAATATATACAGTGAACCGCAAAAACTAAACTAATTTCTGTTCGAGAGTTTTATTTTTGAAAATATCGAAAATTTTATTTTATATATACGGGACGCAAATGCAATTTTGTCCAAATGGAGTGACTGCACTTTAAAATTTTGAGTCAACCACACCTAAATCCATAAATTTATTGCATCTTTCCAATTCATTGTTGTCTATTTTATAAATAAAGTCCATCATTAAATTTTTCTGAATACTATATACAAATTATTTTTGCGGTCTGTTTTGCTTTCACACATACTCAAAACACTACACGAGTTCAAATGTCTTACTTCTCTTTAATAGTCGAACATAGCCCTGATTCTCCAATAGCTTAAAAGCTTTTGCGTTGATATAGGAGTGAGTCTGACTTCATGATTGCAGGCGAATCTCTCCATGAAGAACTGCATTGCTCACAGACCAATGCGTAATCACTATGTTGCGCAGTACTTTGTTCTGAAATATTTAAAAGCACTAACGATCATCTACAACCAAACTTATTTCACACAGCTGATTGAACACGTGACAACCGTTTTTCAGTGCATGACTCAAATGAGGATCGTTGGTAATCGCACAGGAGCTAGACGTTAGTGAATAGAATTATCTACATTACTTTTTATTGCTGTGTCTTACCAGATCTTTGAACCAAAAGATTTACATTCAAGTAAAATATTGATTTAGTAACCCTTCTCGCCTTTAACACAATTAATGATGTCATCTAGTTCTGTCAAAAGGTATAAAAGTTTAATTAATTTAAAATTTCTCTTAAGGTTTACATCATCTTTAAATATGTTTTTTCTATTATTCTAGGTTATGGACATATCGTCCCAATGACTACTGAAGGTCGAGCATTTTGTATGGTTTTTGCTTTTATCGGAATTCCTCTAACTCTAACAGTAATAGCTGATTGGGGAAGATTGTTCGCAAGTACCGTTTCTACAATATTCAGACACATCCCACCACTGCCATCTAGATTCAGGTAAGATAAGGTAGGTGCCATCTATTTCTATTCAATTATTCATTCATTTTCCATTTGTTTAATATTACTTATCAATAAAGAATTATATGCATTGGTAACGGGTTTTGATTTCTCAATAGACTGTCAGGTGCAAAAAATATTATAATGGCAATAAAAATAACTAAAAAATTCATAAGGTGCGTTTTAAACGCGCTTATCCCGGGAGAAATAAAGTAAAGGATGTGTATTATTTTATTATCCGTTGGAAGCAGGTAGCTGTAGGTCCTAACCTCTTCAGCCGTAGTGGAGAGATAAAAAATCATGTCTGTGGAGATGTGGTTAAAGAAATGATGGTAGGTATCTGATAGAATGTAACTGACCCAGCAGTTGACTATTGCTATGAGAATACCTTTGAATCATAGCAGGTTAGACGGTAATGGGGCTCGAACCCACGATCTTCCAAATGCGAAGCAGTTGCGTTACCTCGTTCGGTGTATTTAAGGTTATATTTGGTTTAGTACTTATAAACCAGACTGAATATGTTTAGGACGTTCTCTCACCTACTGAGCATGCCTAACCTCATTTTTTGAAATTTTATAAATGACGCCTTGTTTCAGTTACAAAGTGCCATGAACCCCAGAAAACCATTACCTATTTCTCGCTGATGATATGACCTTTAACTACCAAAGTGGATAGGATATTTATCCTGAATTAATAGTATTTATTAATATATTTTATAATAGTAAAAATTGCCATACCTTTCTAGACCTGTTAATAATAAACATTCTGGCAACGTTTTATGTTATGTTATTATATGGATTATTAAGCAACGATCTATTGTCTTCTATGACTAAGGCATTAAGGGAATAGTCTCGATGTATATATCAATCCTTCCAGTTCTATCTTCTCAAGGAAATGTATAATTTGAAGTGGTTCCTAGTTTACCCTTGGATTTTGGAGTGTGAATAATAACTCGCTGAACTTATAACGAAATCTCTTTCAAAATAGTGGGGGTGTTGAAATGAAAGTCCTATCTATATATACTAAGTGTTGTGTATTCAATAAAATACATCTTTTATAAGTCGATAAACTATATTTATTTGAACACTAGAAAAACAGGTCCAATTGTCGAGCAAGGGCAGACGCGCTTGATGCCGCCAAAACTACAAGATATGACTATGTTGACTTATATCAATTATGTCATCAGTCATTGCATATTTACAACTTTGACTAACTACTAACCAGACTTACATTCATAACACTAAGCGTTATAATAACCTTGATAAGTATTTTTCGACATTAAATTTCAAAATGTACTAACCTATTAGTGAAGCAGTATTATTTTTATTTATATTTAAATCAATAGCCCAATAGTTTCTTCGATTGAATCAATAATTTCTTTAATTACAATACTTTTATTATTATTTATCTTTTGAGAGGCTTTTTCAGTACAACGAATAAGTTTTTGTGGGACTGGTGACACTCGGACCACCCGGTACATTTACAATACAATATAACTGGCAACTAGCATTTATAACAAAGGTTTTACGAGAAAAATAAAAGCGATATTTTTCGCTCAGATCTCTTCAAAATTAAACTCATAACTTACCAAAATGAAAATAAACTGCAACGTGCTAGCAGTAATGTTTCGAATGGAATTTTGTTTATTTCAAAAATTATAAAATCTCGTAAATTTTCGCACATTAAATGAAAAATAAAACGGTGTATTTGCATAAGAAGTGAAGTGGTTTACATTTCTGCAAAAAAAATATTTTTTGTGTGATGTTTAAGTGTTCTTTGATTTACCAGGACAGTTTGATATTTGTGACAAGAAAATATTTAATTTTTGTTCTCATTCCCATAAGTGTACCATAACAAATTTAGATTTCCAGTATGCAATTATTTTTGACAAATAAAAAAATCTTGACGTCATTAATATTGGTCACTAATTTTTCTTATTTTCTTATCGTTTAGGTATTGCGGTTTCGTAATTTAGATTTGCCATCTCTATAATAACCATAACAATTCCATAACCTGATTAGAGTGCTGCATCGTTATCATAAATATTGCCGTATAACTACCCTACGATGTTCATAAATATAAAACTTTCGATAAGCCAACATTATTTCAAACTGAAAGCTAATCCGAGAGCATTAGAGCCAATTCAATGAATTAGTTTTATGATTTTATTATTGACCATGGATATAATCTATTTTGTATTTTATAAGTTGTTTTGAGAACATTTAAACGATAGTTTTGAGCTGTTTATAGATATTACAGATTTCTCCCACTTGTGCTTACAAATAATAACTCATTTGTCGTCTATTTTATTCACCTTAAAGGATCATATGGATGATTTATTCTGTTTCAATTTCTATAATTAATCCAAAGTAATTATCTTTAATTGCCTATATAAATGCCTTTATTGTGTATCCTAATGAACTTACCGAGAAGATGATAAAAAAAGGTAATTTGTTTTACATCCATTTCCCAATTAAATAACGTTACTAGACACAAGAAAATTTAGATTCAGATTAACAAAGAATCAATATTGTTTTTTTTTTTTAATTAACACCTTTTATATCAGTATTTTCAAAATTCGTTTACATATAGGGTGTCCGAAAATTACTGTGACTTATTACGGTCGATTAAACAAGAAAAGTTGATCAGAATTGAAAATCAAGGTCAGGTATTCAATATAATTCGATCTACCATGAAAAACCAGTTTTATGTTTTGCAAATTTAAATATATAATTCGTACTTATGCTAAAAATCATTGAAGATCGTTTTTTTCGTCCCATGGTGGTGTGAGCTAGCATCCAATGTCAATTATTTATAAAGTTTTGATATATTTTTTTGAATTCAATATATTATGTAGGGACAGCTATAATTATTATTAGTTTTATCACTTACGGGGATTCCCAAACTCGACCCTAAGGGGTCGCTATCGACCACTTTGGGAATCCATGACCTATATCAACTCGTTTGTAGACAATTTTTTGAGAAATTCTTCAGATTTTTACTTCTAACAATTATTTTTGTTATAAAATTTTACTAATCACATTCAACGAACAGGGTAGCTATGTATTTTTTTTAAATTTTGAAATTGCATGGATGGTCGTTTAAGAGTTTGTTTGGAGGGTTTTTAGGGCTACAGAGTAATTTAAAATCGCTTCAATAGTAATTTAATTTAAAAAATAACAAAATTGTAAATTAAACAGACACATTATACTTTTTCTCCAATAACAGGCAATAGCAATAGCAATAATTTATTAATTTGCAGTATTTACATTAATATTCACATCTACATTTTTTGCGCTTCGTCGTTTCTTCGCTACAATCTTCCAATTCTGTCTGGAGAGCCAATAACAGGCGATTATGGATAAGTTTAGGTGCTAAAAATACATTTTTATTCTATACTAGCGATACTTTTAATAATAAAGCAGAGGAATTTGAAATATATTGAGGCATACGCCTTCTTAAAACGTTCTCCTTAGTAAGCAAAATTAAAGGTAGAGTGTTGAAATTAAATTTATATATCTGCTGTCTTTACTCTGGATTTAATTCAATACCTGTGCGAAATTAACCAAAGGAGTAATCACTTTTATTTTGTGTTCTGTTCATTTTTTTCTTTATATTAATTTTGAATAGTTAATGGAATTACTTTAATGCTAACCCAATAAGTCGTCCCTGGACTGTAGAATTACGCAAGTACGTTTTCAAACGCTTCATTATGGATAATTTTCTTATGAGGGTAGACGTCGAAACTGCTAATACCACCAAAGTTTGTAAATATTGGGAAACAAATCCCTTATTGGTTTTATTTGCATAAGTTGAACCTTTGTCATGCATTCTTAATAAGTTTCAGTCCCCTCGCTACGGTATTAACGTGAAATAAAAACTTAAATCACATTTTGGACCCGCATTTCTACAATTCGTAAGGGCCTATTAGAATACTAACTATTATGTTTTGGTTCATTCCTCTGGGGAGTTCCATTTGCTTATTGCCTAATAATTTCAACGTTACAGCCATTGTGATTCTGAAATATTTCCGGAATTTTCTTGGAATTAAAACTAAAATGACATTTTTATGGAGTAGGCGACTGAAGTATTTTTTCTTTGCATCATACTTAGTCATTAATTTTAATAAAAGTTTTTAAACTCAAGGATGCACCTATTTTGAAAGAAAAGTGACATTTACTATCAAACTTATTGTTTTTATAGTATATTACATTACGAGTGTGGAAAATCACTTTTCACACAAGTGATGTACAATATTTTTCCTACGACCACAAAATAATGTCATCAAAAAAATGTAAAACCAAGGTTATTATTACTATAATAATTAAAATGTATTTAAAAAAATAATCAACAATAATCGTATTTATTCAATTTTCATATTTTCTAAACAAAAAAAACTAAAAAAAAATAAAAAAAAAAACAAAAAAAAAATTCGTCTCCGCCAGGATTTGAACCATAGATTGAACGCGGTCAAAAAATGGCAAAGTTGATAAGTTCGACGTCTAAACCAACTGAGCTAATGGGCCTTACGTCAATTGAATGATCTAATCGGTTATGTATTTACCCAAATTAAAGAGCAAACAATCTTAGTTATTTTAAAATTATTTTAATAATAATTGTTAAAGATTATCTAGGATCTAATTTAAAACAATTTCAATAATTTAACAATCATATCGATTTTAGTATTAATATGGACATTACATAGATCAAAATAGAAATTAGGCGTTTGACATTTTTTGACAACCACTGCGGAAAGTAACATATTCTCACTTGGGTGGAAAGTAAATTCTTAGTCATACGCGTGTGATATAGGACACTTTCCATAGGACTATATAGTGCGATATGTGTCACTTTCCTAAGTGGTCGTAGGAAAAAGTTATTTTACTACGAGGGGCCTATCAATTTATGAGAATGCACAATGGGTCTTGTAAGACCTAAGCGAAGTGGGACAACCCAGTCTACATACGTTACAGATATAGATTTAGTTCAAAAAAATTTAGTACACAGAGAAAAATTTGTCTAAATATGTAATCAAAAATGCGTATTTTAAATTCAGCATTAATTAATAATTCTTATTTGAAGTCTTCATTTGAATCCTGACACTCTAAAATTAACATTTTTTGAATCAAAACGTTGTTAATTTAAAAGAAATCAATGATTTTTTAGCATGCGACTTTTCTTAAATAAAGATTGGTTGACTCCAAAACAAGCCCGAAAATTTATATTTTTTGCCTAATATGAGCATTAATTTCTTTCTGTGCAAATTTTTGAAATCTGTAAACATATTTTTTTTGATACTGTGTTCCTTGTTACCAACTCTTTTTATTATTTTAACGACCATGTACATTTTACAATAATTACTATCTGAAAACTACGGATCTTTTGTAAACAAGAACATATTTCACAATAACTTTATTCCAATACTTTTTTGAAAACATCTACTTACTTTATAAAACAACTGAGTAATTTTTCGACTTTACTGATTCCTTCCGAATTTTGGAAATAATTTTCAGTCCTTGTATTAAATTTGTTAGTCAGCATATCATATATCTCTTCGCCGGAAAGTGATAAAGGACATTTAGCGTTAGTGAAATTTGACCTCAATATTTTAACAGACACATTTGTCGCGACTAGTGATTATTATAGCGCTGAGATGCAAATTGATCGTTTTAATAATTGGATTAAGTTTGGGCCATCCTTTTGGGCAATTCATTTTGATTATTATTCTATGAAAATAATTTCAAAAGTTTTGCGGATGAAAAAACGTCACAAATAAATTTTTATCAAAAAATTCATCGACAGTGTGTTGTAATTCGCACATTGATATAGAATTTTCCAAGATACAAGAAAAATATTACAGGCAATTATATTTTTTGTAAATTTAGAGTATGATGTGTAGGATTATGATGAAGTGTTATAATACTTTTAAGTATTGTGTAATATGGATTCTTTAACACTTGCAGTTTTGTTTATATTAACACTATTGATTGTTGAGTGTTTCTTTTTTAGATGCTTTTGGTTTTAGTCAGTCAATACCTTACCTAATCTATGGTCAAGACATATTCGTTTTATTGATTGGAATAAATTCAGTTTGCTACGTTATTATCGTGTTTCATTGGGTTTGTTTTGGTTCAAACAGAACCGTCAACTCCAGTTCTCAAATACAGTTGACGAATTCAGTTTTCAAGAATACGTCGCGATAATAATTAACCTATTGAGCTCAACGAGTGTAATTCACTGATTCTGAATTAGTTCGTAAAAGAACCAAAACATGTCTATTATAATTTTATAATAATTCTAACAGATGCAGACCCTAAATAAGACTATCATAAATTAGGCAAATTGGGATTGATTTAAATTGCATAATGTACAGACTTATTAGGTATTTTACCAAGCTAATGATGATTAGTATTTTTTAATCTTCATTATTTTCAGCTCCTGACACACAAACATATCTTAAAAAATTCTTCTACATCCACCCTCAATCAAGTCTTATTATAATATATAGAATAACAACAATAACGTCTTGGTCGTACATGAACTACTTATTTTTTAAAGTTATGATCATAAAGGTGGATAAACAATACAAAAAAATATATTTAACATAAAACAATTATTTTTAGGAACGCCGTTGTTGCCAGAAGGACCTCTTCCTACGCATTAAGCGCGATTTGCTTCCTGTTTCTGTATCTAGCAGTAGGAGCAGGACTATTCGTTATCTGGGAGGAAGACTGGACGTTTTTCGAAGGTTTTTACTTCTGCTTTATTACAATGACCACAATAGGATTCGGAGATCTTGTACCAAGTAAGTAAAATTATTATATATTTATTTTATTAAGAACTATTGCATTGTTTACTAATGTAATCGGAATCTTTGTAAATTCCGAGCATTTGGTTTTAATTCTAGAAAGCTCTATAAATATATTAAAATTTATTTTAGAAAATGATGAGTCATTCGGAAATTTTTGATAAAAATATAAACAGTTCAACCCTTTATTTGTAATGTTATATAATTTTTTTTTATTTTATTCATTTACAACCAAACAAGACCTTATTACATGATATAGCCTTTCAGTATAAGGACAAATCAATTTGTATGAAAAGAAAACAAATAGTTATTTATGTACTAAGGCCGTAAAGTTGATCTTTCTTGGCTGAATAAAAAATTTACGGCCGAGGCTAATCCTTGAACCCAATGGCGTAGCCAAAAATTTTTCATAGGAGGGGTTTCTGAGTACTATAGGAGGGGGGTGTTAACAAAAAGTTAATAGCGATCAGTGCCAATAAGATAGCGGAAACGGTGAAGCGAAGGCCTCCATAAGGAGGTTCTGACCTCCCAACACTCCCCCCCCGTGACTACGCCACTGCTTGAACCTAATAACGATACCCTAGTAGTTAATGCCATTGATCGTTGACATCCAAGAAAAAAAATCATCTGACGCTACAAACCTAACAATTTTTATATAGATTTTTATAGATTGATTTTTATAGATTTTTATAGATTTTTATAGTTTTTTATAGATTTTTATAGATTTTTATAGATTCTTATAGATTCTTATAGATTCTTATAGATTCTTATAGATTCTTATAGATTCTTATAGATTCTTATAGATTCTTATAGATTCTTATATATTCTTATAGATTCTTATAGATTCTTATAGATTCTTATAGATTCTTATAGATTCTTATAGATTCTTATAGATTCTTATAGATTCTTATAGATTCTTATAGATTCTTATAGATTCTTATAGATTCTTATAGATTCTTATAGATTCTTATAGATTCTTATAGATTCTTATAGATTCTTATAGATTCTTATAGATTCTTATAGATTCTTATAGATTCTTATAGATTCTTATATATTCTTATAGATTCTTATCGATTCTTATAGATTCTTATAGATTCTTATAGATTCTTATAAATTCTTATAGATTCTTATAGATTCTTGATATTTTGTAACCATTTCAACTGCGTATTTAATTAAGGGCAAATGATGGCCTCTTTTTGTAGCACCATTTAGTTTAAGCTTTAAATAAATTGTATGGGAGATTGTTTTTATGTCTCATTTTATATAATGAATATCCTTCAGTAGTTTACAGCACAATCTTCGTATCTATTCCTAAAAAAAAAACATTATTATTTACCTATTTTCTAATTTAATGAAATGCTTCTTGTGAGTTTATTTCATATATACATATTTCTAAATAGTTTGAGCTTAAAAAGGTGTATTTAAAAGAAAATATTTCCTATTGAAAACTATTTTAATACATTAAAAGTAAGCATGTATTCGAATTTCGTTAAGCATAGAAATATCTTCATGCATAATCAATTAACTATCAAATTCGCCCCTTCTGAACGTTCTGCAGCAACTGTGAGAAAATAAAAGGCAAATTATACCTACTACACGTAGTTTGCTTATCGGAATGCAATTTAGCTATATAAAAACAAAGGGCAAAATGTTCACTCCTTCGTGTTTTGTATAATTTCAAATAACATTTACAAAAAAGCACAGCTTATACTCACAATTACATACAATACTTATCCTAGTAGAGTAATTCATAATGGGCTTCTAAATTTGAATGTTAAAAATTTTGTTAAAAATTTTTTAAATACAAAATTGAAGAAAAAAAAACAAGTAAATTTTTATTCTATATCATATCTTCAACATTTACAAAAAATAAAAATTAATTTTCAACAAAGGACAAATGGTGTGAAAATAATATTTTTGAATCTTACATAACGTGGCACATACAAGAGGTAAGAGTAACCTAAAAATTATTAAACATATATTTTTGGCACAGAATAAACAGAGGCCATATTCCTGGTCAACAAAGTCTTGTATCAATTCCCAAATAGCTAAAATTGTAAGACATACAAAATAACTTTTATTCTCTTTCTTCTTGGTCATTATTATTTCAATCAATTTTGTTGTTATTATATTTTTCTTCTGTTATCTTTTATGATATCTGCGATGCAGTCGCGTTTGGTCTTTTTTATTTCTATGATCCAGCTAGTGCTGCGTTTGAAAAGTACTTCGTTCTGCTTTTTTATTCGATACCGTTTTTTTTAACACATCCAAGCTCTGTTTGCTCCATTGATACGTTTTACTCGATGTCACGTGGTACCAAAAAATATACTCGCTCTGCTCGAGGAGGTACTTTTCAAACGTAGCCTTGGATAGCGAAATATGATGTGTCCTGCTTTACCGGTACCATTGCAGTAGCATAAGATTGGGTTTAAACTAAATTTAGATTAAATCATTGACATTTTGAAACAGAAAATAGATTCTTTATACATACATGAACGGAAAGTAAATTCTTGTTCACGTACGTGTGACATAGGGTATTTTTTACAGCACTAAACAGTACATTTGTCACTTTATTATATTAAATAAATTTAATTTCAAGTTCATCCAGTTTTTATATCTATGTCCAAGCCTGTATAATTTAATTTATTATAAATGCAATTAAATATATGCAAGAAATGAAAAATGTGCAAAACGAAACTCATTAATCGATGAAATTCCCAAATGGGCAGTTCATTTTCACCCGTAGGCGCGATAAGGCAACTTTTTATTTCCATCACTTGCCGTAAACTAAAGATAACACACACGAGCGATGCATTACTTTTCTTTTTACGACCTAATATCAATAAGTGTATCAAATAAAGTTTATACATAATTGGAATTTTCTCTTTTTTCTATTTGACTTCTTCGAGAGAATCTATAGAAGAGATAACGGCAGTTGTAAAAGTTCTATTATTTTTCTGATTTCCTATGTGAAATGAATGGATAAAATGGCGTTTCATGATTTATGAGGTATTGATTGTTAAAACGATGAGCAATGAGCGTCCAGTATATGGGACAGGAAGTACTAAAAATCTGAAATTTTTTGTATTTTTGAACTAAAATTTAATAAAAGAATATTTTTAGTAAATTTTTCATTTATTTGAAAACTAAATAAATCAAAAAAAGTACCAACAGAAAAAAGCGATAGTAAACACAAATTGCAGATTAATAATCTTATCTGAAAATGAGTTGGGAACTAAAAAAGTAAATGATATCTATTAGAAAGGTTAAAACAATAAAATTAGCAATGAAATCTATCTACTAATTTCTGAAAACAAGTGTAGATGGTCTTAAATAAGAAAATTAAAAGTTAAATGCAAAAACAAGGAAATAAATATAATAAATAAATGAATAGCAATATTACATAATAAAATGAAAACGCCAATAAAATTATAACTGTATTTTACTGGACAATCAAAAGAAAAAATAGGTTATGTTGAAGTTTTACAGGTGATAGAAACGAGGGGTTCAAGACTTTCAACTTTTATTGTCTTCTATTTAAAATATAGTAATTTAAAACAGAAAATACTTAATGTAGGTACCTATGAAAAAAATTACAAATAGTCCTGATATCGTCAATCCAACAGTTGTTGCAATGTGTTCAATAGATTGGCAGTGAAGGGCGGCTACAAAACGAATTTTCAGGGGGTGGAGGGTGGAGGATGGCAGTGCCTTTAGCTATTCCCTTTTTTGCATTTTTTTTTTTTTTAATAAAAGGCTCATAATTCGTAAGAATTTTCGTCTCGGGGGGGCATGGCCCCATAACCTCCCACTCCAGAGTCGCCCTTGTTGGCAGCCATTTTAAACAATTTTCTTGTAGCCGTCATAAATACTACAATAAATATTACAATTGTTGTTAAACTTACAGTCAAAAGCAGTGAAAAACGTTGTAATACCGTAATTAATTATTAAACGTTATTTCCTTTGTTTCAGAACAACCGAAATATATGCTACTCTGTACCTTGTACATTCTGGTAGGACTTGCGTTGACATCAACAATCATTGAGTTAGTACGAAGACAATACGCACAATCTTGGAGGCAGCTACGAGCGCTGCGAGGACCTCTAGCGGAAAATTTCAGGAAATTAGCTGAAAATGCACCTGGATTAGACGTTTTAGCTTTTCAACAGGATCTTATGAAAGTTTTGACTGTGGTAAGAGAACCGTTTTTAATTTTTTAATTATTACTTTTTCACAGATCGTACTCGTTTGATCTTTCAAAATATTTTGTAACTTTGTTTACCTTGGTCACTTCAAAAATCTTTATTTTATTTTAGAGTTTATTTCTTATTTTTACAATATTAGTCCAACGGAATAAGATTTTTAAAGCGAATTATTTTATTTTGAAAAATTATTTTTGTTTTCTATGATATACCTAATAAAGATAGTACATTTTATCACATATTTTTTAACGTTCAAAAAAAATCCAATTTAAATAAACTTGCCTAGGTACAAAGTTACCTAGTTTTTGTACATTTTAAAAGTCTGTGCAAGTCTACTAATATTTTATAAATTGATATAGTTCAAAAAAAACCTAAAAAATCATTTACCACTTAATTTCATCATCAGGAATCATTTACGTGGCGCCCCCTGTAACAAAATATGAAATAATACATAAAATAATATTCCTTGTCTAAAGATATACATACCTCTGTGCCGATTTTAATAACAATTTATAAATGTACAGTGACATTATAAGAAAAAAAAATTCTAACGCCCTGTATCTTATTCCACCGCAATATTTTATTGGGGTATACCAAATATATTTGGTCCTATCGCCTTATTTTGCTTTAAATAACCTGTCCTTAGTTAATGTCTCAATAGTTATGAATCACCCTGTATATTTGAGTAAATTTTGATAAAACTATCTGAACCTAAATTCGTTCTTGGCTTTTCATTTGATTTCGAATTTTGGTCGTTGACAATACGTTTATTGACAAAACAATTTGGAATTAGGTATCGTTCAACGTTTCTCCGATAAAATAAGACTGAAAACTATAGAAAGAAAAGCATTATTTTAACTTCGTGACTAGTATTTGTTATGGAAACAATACGTATTAAGGTAAATAGTGTATTGTAAGTAGTTAACACTGTAATTGTGTAATTTTGATAATAAATTGTGTATTTTATTCCACGTTATTACATCTAATGTAAATGCAAATAAACCAGTTTGTATTTTAATAAATTTAAATTAAGAGCAGTACAATATTAAGATAAACACAGTCCTTTTATGTATATTGTTTCAATTATTAACAGTTAAAAAAATAAAAATAAAAAAGCAATATAATCCTTTGACGAAAACTTTTTGGCTGCTTATAATAGCTATTTTTATGTAATCAGTTATGAAATGCCTTACAACGAGTGAATATTTGCGGAATGAGCAGAGCGAGGTATCGCAAAATAAATGAGTTACATAAAATAAGACATTGTCCTTTGAATTTGTTCTAGTTTGCAGATGGAGGTCAATTTTTTGGGTTTTCGGTGCACCGTATGTTAGGACGGCTTTGTATAGACTCGTGTTTATTTTGGTCCATACTGTTACATCTAGGGTTACCACCTGTTCTTTTTTGAAGCAAAATGTCCTTATGACTTTTTAAAGCTTAAAATGTCAAAATATCCTTTTACAACAAATGTCTTTTTTGACGACAAATGTCTTTTTTTGACGGCAAATCTCTTCTTTTTTGACGGCAAATGTCTTTTTGTCACACTATCGTCCATTTTCCGAAAACGGCTGTCCTGTTGGTTGAATCATTTTCCATTATTCGCTACTGTAAACGCGCTATACGGTATCAGCCAATGAATACTTTCTTATATCCCTTAGCACAAGTGTATTAGAGTAAGCTAGAATAAAAAAAACAGCGATGCAAGCCTATACACCCTGGAGAACGTTACTACGCGATCGGGTCGTATAAATGGCAACGTTGGTTTTATTTCTTTCCCAACTCTTCGTAGTTTTCACACACACACTTGTGCCAAGGGATATTAGAAGCTATATTCGTTGACCTGTACCGTATATAAACTATAATTGAATTGCTTATAGTTAAAAGGAACTAAGTCACATTTTTACGTTTTTGACTTTAGAAACTTTGAAGATATTCCTTTCGTTTGGTGTAAGAAGGAACCGTCTAACTATATTGCTTGTGTTTTATTTTAATGGTAGTTATCGGTATCTTCTTAAGGTACACCAAACGAAAGAAATATCTTCAAAGTTTCGTTTCATGTTTAAAAGTCAAAAACGTAAAAATGTGACTTAGTTCCTTTTAGCAATAAGCGATTCAATTACTGCTATATTTTTTTAAATTTTAAATGTAACGATTATATTTTGTATTGTCACAAAAATTCTACAATTGGATTAAAAAGAAACTCTATTTTAATGTGAAATCTATATTTGCAGGTCACAATGCCCAAACTCCACGGCAAAAGGGGTAAGAAAATCAAAGACAAGGATTGGGAGAATGCCATCGAGGCTGCAATCAGAGATCTCACAGCAAACGCTACGGAGCACAAACCGCAACAAGTTTTACAAATAGTCATCTACGAAAGTTCGGTGTGAATAAGAACCAAATCTTCCACAAGAGACTTCCATTTTCGATAATCGATTTGAAATAAATCGGACTCTTTTATTCCATCGTACACATTACTGATTCAATTTTAAAGATTTATAATGTTCCTATCTTATGTCAATAAATTGAATAAAAAATGTTTATCAAGTCTTTTAAATGTTTAAGGATTTTATTTTAACAAAACTAACTATATTTTAATATTGCTTAAGCGTTTTACAAAGTATATTTTTTTCAGTAATAATAACAATAATACTCTTCCTATTCACCCCCTTATGAGTGAATTTTAACAGGTAGGGACAGCAAATTTTCCGACTATGTTTCTATGTCTAGGAGCGGAGATATCTGATATTAAATAGTCGGAAAATTCACTTTGGGGTTGACAAACCTATTTGACCTTTTCGTTCTCTTTGACAGAAATTAAAAGTGTTATTTGTACCTACCTTATCCTAGAAAATAAATATATTTTTATATCTAGGAACCGAGATATTTGATGGCGACAATGTTCCCCTTGGGTCTTTAGTGCTATTTAAATTAGCCGACTGTTATTGCAAAGTTTGAACACTTTTGTAATTAATGTAAAATGTTCAAAATAGGATGTCTTTACTGACTGGCCCATCTGGTATTACAGGAATTTGAACACATGCATCGACCGACAATAATTTAATTCACAAGCACTCAACGCACTGAGGTATTGAGCCGATTTAATGTTGCTTCTTGTTCTTCTTATTGCTTATAAAGAGATAGTTACGGTCATAAAGAGTGCCATGTACCTCCCCTACTATAAGAAAAATACAATACAAAAAATACAGTGCCAGATCTATACCTAAACATATACTGTAGAGGAGCGGTATAAATTTTTATATTGCATCATATTAACCCAATTTTTTTTCAAGTTGCATCATTCATTATGCGATTCCTATGGCGCGCCGCCCTTGCATTATTATACTATTATACAAGATACGATACCTACGCGATATACGATAATGATACGATAGACTCTTTTCCAGGGATTTGTTGTATACTAGAGTATTAGAGGGGACTTTGGACTTAGAACAGCCGAGCCGGTACAGTTGAATCATGATTTTGACTGCCGTCGTGTGATATAGCTTGATGAGTGTGTGTGAGTTAGGTACATCGACCATATTCCATGAACATTCAGGAAAGTTTATTTCTATAAATATATCTCGACGATTAAAATTGATCATTCTTACTAAAAAGTTTGTTGTTAACGTACCTATCTGCATTTTTATTACTTGTGTCGATTTCTATTCGCAGTTCCGCTGTTTTTAATTGTTACCGGCTGATTTACATGTAAGTATATTTTTAGTATTTAGTTTAAATTAGTTAAATCCGGTACAATATTTTAGTGCGTTCAACTGACACAGCGTCACTGCCATCTAAACTCAATTTCTAGAACTATTAATCTAATAAAATTAAGTTTTTCTTCTATAAAGGTACGTTTACACTATATGTATCTACAGCACCTCACACAATGTGGTGATTATCTACCTATACCTATTTAGGTATATAATTTGTAATATTAGCATAGGCGCCGACTTTTTTTTATCTGCGGGGGGATTGTACTGTGACGCTAAGCTAAATAAAAGTTTTTCACCTCTATCCGAAATTCGTGTGTGGATAAAAAATAGTTCTCACCTTTCCAAAATTCAAAAATGTGTTTTAAATTTGCCACTGGGTAACTACGGGAGGGTATTATATTATTGATTTATTTTAATACGCTATTTTTTATTTTTTTCGAAAACAGTTTGTTTAAAAGTACATTTTTTAGGTTAAGGTGTAAAAAAATGCATTATTGTGTTAAAGGTAGTCCGTCTGTGGCAAATTAAATAAGCCAAATATGTTTAAAAGGGTATATTTATTGCCAGTGTAAAATATCTTAGCAGATGGACACATGCTATGGCAGACTTTTCCCTAGGCCAGGGACGTATTTATAACATAACTGTCTGGGCTCGCCCCCTGGAAAATTTTGAAAAAATTGAGTTCGAATTCATAGTTTTAGCGCTCTCAAAACAGTTGTAATTTTCGTTGGCGGCATTTTAAAAGGTGGGAACTCGGTTAATATTCGCGTTGTTACTTTTAAGCCAAGGGGAGGTCTAAACCCCCTGACCCCCCTTATATACGTCGGTGCTCTAGGCCTTTTTAAGATCTACAATATATTGTTTTGAAGTATCTCTTAAAATTTGGCCAGCTTCAACCATATAAGCGTGCGAAAACAGTTTTTGTTGACAAAACACCGTCATTGTTCAGCCATTTTGTGCAACATATTTACAAATTATATACACAACCTTCTTCTCTTAGTAAAAACCGTATCAAAATTTTAAAAGAAGTAAGCTGAGAAATAGACGGAAGAAAACATAAATTTTGTTTTATACTATTTCTCTAGTGCTATTTTATCACAAATATTTATTTTTTGTATTTGTATTTCAAATAATTTATATTGACAATTTATCTTTACACAACAAAATCTATTTATCAACTGTCTCTTTCAATCAAATCCAATCAGTCACGAGCGGTTATTCTTGAATATTTTGGTGGATTCGTTTCTAACAGTCGGAGGAAGAAACGCATCCAAGTACTTTATGGAGTTTATTTTACAAATAATATTACATTAACTAATTTTAGTATTTTCTAAAAATAGAAAAAAAATATAATTAACTCAATAATTATACATTAACAGACATCCTTGACTAAACATAGTTTATTAACAACGTTTTTTAATTACTTCGTAATGGATATTTATAATAAAATATATCAATTATTACAATATGTAAGTATGTAAGACTATGAATCATCAGAGATAACAAATAAAGTTTGATTTTACATTTTATAAATTTATTATTTAATGTTTTATAATATCTAAAAAAAACATGATGATGATGATGTGCTTGAGATACCACGAATGTATAGAGTGCACCTAAACGAAATACAGATTAATAGGGTCATCATGTTAAGTCAAAAAGGTCACTTTATGGTAACCTGAATCCTAAATATCAATCTAGCTATCATATAGGATCTGGATAAGATATTAAATGTACAATATCGTTAGAAGGCAGCCGTACCTTACATCAGAGAGTGAAGACAAGCTTTGGGTAACCAGAGTCTGTAGAAGTACTGGTACAACTCTCCAAAATAAATGTTCTGGAACTGGGATGACTATCCAAATATTATGAGATTTATGAATGTCAGTTTCATTCCAAAATGTCAGATAAAGTACCCCCTTAAAGCTTTGATTATTGTAGAGTAGGAAGGATGTTTGCTAGAGAACATTTTCATTGGATTTAGAGCAGCAAAGTAAACAAGAAACAGTGTATTGACGTATCCAGAATCTTAATTACATTGATTAGGAGTTTAAATCTGGAGGCGTCTAGATGAGTGTTATTTAGATTCCACTGTGTAAGAGTTTTCAATTTTGAAGAAGGGATATCATAACTTTAGAAAGATTAAATTTGGATAGGCCAGAGAGATCTGTGATGATACGCAGGTATCTAGAAAGATATAGTTTTAGATCCATTTCCAATCCTAGATTGTTTGGCTAATGCCTACAAAAGCTGCGCCCCAGAATCAATCTCATCCATCAACACTACCTGACTTTCAGTATAAAATAGCCAGCCGAGTTTAATTTATATGGGAAATCCTTGAGATTCTCGTTCTTTTTTCTTCTTATTTTTATCTTAGCCCTTTAATTCATAAGGTGCCTGGCAATTTTTCCAGAATTTTCGACCTTTTGGTAGGATTTTCATTAGTCTTATTTATTTTCCTCTTAAGTGCCCTAAATTCATTACCATCCATACATTTTATAGGTTAGAGGGGTGCAAAAAAGGGAGGACTGCGATGTATGCCCAATTAAGTATAAGATAAAAAGAAAAAAAGTAACAAGCTCTGATGTTCTCTTGGATATGATGTTCTCTTGGATATTCTTTTGGAAGTTTAATTTTTTATAAGGTATACTTACTTTGTCAAGAAAAAAGTGAATCGTCCCTCAGCAAAATCTTGGATCCGCCACTGTACGTTACCTTTTTTCTCATCTACTTTTGCATTTTCTTTTTTTTTAAATCTGAATATTTTCTACATGCAATGGCAATGCAGTATATTGCTATAATTAGTTATAGAACTGGTTAGGAAGATGTAATTATGTTATTGGAGAGGTTAGCGTGGTCCAATAATATACAAAATTAATAACGAATGAAGAAAAAAGCAGAAACATTGTATCGAAATATTTTGTTTCTCAAGACAATATTTTGGCTACACAGAAAAAATGAAATTCTTGCAGAAAAAATATGTATTTTCTTAAAGATATTTTCTTTAAATAAATACACAATTTCTTAATTAAAGATAGTATTCTTACTTGAAAATTTGATTAGATTGATTTTAGTGTAGACATAATTTTTCTCAAAACATATTTTTGAATAAAGCAAATTACTCTTAATTCAAAACACGGCAATGTTTAAATAAAGAAAAATCACATATAATTAACGGTTTCATATTCTAATAAGTACTTTTTCCCAAGAGATTTGTTTTTAATCGAATGCATATTCTTTAATAAAGAAAGTTATTCCTTTGTTTCAAAAAAATATATACAAGCATATCATTTTTTTTTTCGGGAAGAAAATATTTCCTTGGTTATATACAAATCAAATTGATTTAAATGAAGCAATTTTTTTGTGTATAGCAAAATTGGTTCCATACTAATTTTCTCAAATAATACTTAACTATTAATTTGTTTACCTATATGTCTGGAGTATAAATTGTTATTCTTAATATTTTTTTATCTGTTTCTCTACTTATCGTGATGCTTTTTCATGTTTTTCCTTGTACCAGTAACATAATTAATCAATTAATATGTTGTCAAGGATGAGATACGTTATACTGTAGATTATATACTGATAAAACTCATTTACCTACGACGCAAAACTGCTACCTATTGTGTTTAAAAATATACATATCGACATCAATGGCAAAGTTCACGAAGTACAATACTTATTTTGACAATTAATCTTGAAATAAGTAGGTAAATAATTATTTGGATCATATAAATTTATTTCTTTCGTAAAAATAAATATTTACAACAAAACAAAAAATAAACGATTTATTATAAAATACAATAGACCATGTAGGCAATTAGGCAGTTAGGCAGTCAGGTAGTGGCTTAGCCACGGGGGGGGGGGGGGGATTTGAGAGTCAGATCCTCCCAATGAAGGGCCTTCCCATCACCGTTCCCTTATCTTATTGTCGCGGATCCTTATTGGCGCGGATCGCTATGAACTATTTGTTAATCCCCCCCATAATTCTCAGAAACCTTCCCCATGAAAAATTTTTGGCTACGCCATTGCATGTAGAACTGAATGTCAAATTTCTGTCACACTGTTTTCTTCTGAACTAATTTTGATCAACCCTGTATTTGTGCACTTATTTAACATTTCACGAATCATTTACATAATGCATCTTTATTTTCTTATAATAACCGACACACATCGGACATCGGTAGTCAACCATAATATCATTATTGATAAGAGTGATAACTTCATACGAGTATAAATAGTTTATATAAATAAATAATTACTTTATCAACAAACGGAACTACTGTTATATCGATGATTTTTAAAAATAAAAATATTACCGGCACTAATATTACATAATAAGATTATTTTTATGGAAACATTTATTAGACACTTGTATTTTGTAATAAACAAATTTTTATCCATAGTGTTTGGCAGTGGCGCATCCATAGTTTAAGTCTGGGGAAGGGTAGTGATAATACAGTTTAAGCAGCCCCGGATCTAGGAGGGGGAGGGGGGTAAGCTGGACTCCATGCCTCGGGCGGCAAATAGTAAAATAACAAACTGTCTTTTTTTTCGTGGTTCCCACGAAACCCCTAGCGATCTCATCACACAATGTTCTCAACCTGGTCAAGAAAATTTCTTGAATTTAATTTTGCTTCTCTCGAAATATAATTCAACTTTTAAGTTGCAGTTAGAAAACTTAAAAAAGGGATAAGTATATTTATCAAAAACAATACAGAATGAAATTATTGACATATAGAATTGGCAAATAGAAATAGAAACGACATCAAAGAAGCCAAATACTATACAATAATGTTCGATTGCACTCCAAATGTGTCGCATACAGAACAAATGAGCCAGGTCATTTGCTATTTAAAAAAACTGTTGATGTGTTTTGTTTATTTGTTTCTTTAGCGAATTCCCTTTTTTCTTGTTCCAGTATTTTTAATGAAAACCACTATTCTTTTTACATTTTATTGTTCTACAACATACAATTTACAAAAACCTTAA